TATACAATAATGCTGTTCCGGCTTGCATACAAATTCAACTTAAGGACAGACCTTGGGAATGAACTCGTTCTTAAACTGGGGACTACCTGTACTTCACACACACACACACACACACACACACACACATAGAGTAACAATAAAAGTACCCAATATCCATTTCCATTGTCCTCTTTTTGAATTATATACATTACAATGGTTTGGAAACGAAGAACACAAATATCTATAATCAATCAAGTTTCCAGAACAAAATTTATATGAAATAACTTCATATAAACAGAGCCATTATTACATATGACCACATCAAACAAGCCAACATTGCATTTGATCATCACATTTCCAACAGTTAATTGAATCCACTAATTTATTTATAAAAGTTGGATAAGTATCCAATAGACATCAAATAATTGTTGCTGAAGTAACTGTAATTTTAAATCGACAGAAACATATTATTTCATTTACATATGTCTATTTAATATTGCAATTCCTTATTCCATGGCTGCTGATGCTAGAGGAGCACATTAAATAGACATACCGTATCCAGCTCATGGCAGCCAAAAGATACAAAAAATTCTCTGTTACCTTGTAATGGCCATCCAGATTTTTGCATCCAGAGAACTTATGCCTGGTGTTAATCCTCTAGGGCTAGAGAAAATTTTTAAAGCACTTAAAGAAGGCAATCCTTCTTTGAGCATTAGGGGATGAAAATGTGTTTCAAATGAAGATAGTAAGATACTGCACTTTTTCATCCTGTGAGACTGAATTGCTCCATCCTGTTTGAGCCCCAGTTTCTCCAGATTTTAGCTTGTATGTTTGAGATGCATTTCAGCTTGCCTATGTTTTTTTTTTATTTAAATCATGAGTTGCTCATAAGTAATTAATAGAGCAAGATGTGTTCTTTTAAAAAAGAAAACCCAAACAAATAGCATAGTCTACTGGGTGACCAGTTCTGGGCACCATTTACAGAGAAGGTGCCTAGTGAAAGTCCTGGAAATGAATGGCAATTATTGAGAGCAATGGATCCTGTCTAAGATAATTTTCTGCCTAAGAGATAGGTGACTGCCTTTGCTCTGCAGAAAATGTAAAATGAAATCCTTTCTCTTAAAGCAGAGAGGTACAAAAAATGGTGATCTGGGCCATGATGAGAGGTGGGAGATTAAGGGTAAGAATAGAGCGGGTTGTTTCTCAGAAGCTTTCTGCTCCCATCCTCACCCCTAAAGCTCTGAAAAACAGCCAACATATATACAGAGACATACACAGAATTCATCTTCTAAGATGCTTAGAAATAGGTATGTTAGAATTAATAGCAATAGAAGTCATTGCTCTTGGAGTAACAAAGACATATTGGGAAAAAAAGGTTAACACGCACTACATGATGGCGTCACTAAGTGCTGCAACGCAACGTGTGGTCCTGCATCCAAGAGACTTAACACTCACCTAGATCAAAGGTATTTAAATGTTCCACATGCTAACCAGTTCATTAGAGCAAAAATGTTTATATTACTCCTAATTAATTCGTTGTTAATGTTATAAGATAAAGGTAATTCTATCTCTCCTTCCTCCTGCTCTCTTCCCTCCAAGAATAATTATGTGTATAAATAAACGATCATACTCCTTTCTCAAGATTAGGTTCCATGTAGCTCACGACTGTGAATTCATGCACTGACTTTTCTTGTGGTATTTTTCACTGAGTGCAGAATCTAAATTATGTCTGTCTGTCTCTTTCCCCAAGGAGCTGGGAATTGCCCATACACTACCTCATATTAACCCTGGGAGGTAGGATAGGACTAACAGCGATTAGAGCTTCATGGCTAACTTCAGTCTCCCCAGATCTGTTCTGAATTTTTTCCCACTAGATCCCACTGACCATCATGCAATGGTACAAGTATCTGTGCATTCAAACACACATACACGCTATAGGGGAACATCCCAAAGCATGCATTTTTTCCTGATACAATTTTAAGCACTGTTATGAAAAAGAGGAATAATGTAAGAAAATGAATCCAAGTATCTAATCACCATCAGAAATGTCTGCATGCAATGACATACAGTAGTTAAGTGCTTCTTACCACATCTGCCTGCTGATATCTGACTTTGGGGTTGATCCATTCCTTGCTGATACGTTTACGATATGCACTGCACTTTGGAATATATGTACAGCCAACATCTCCCAATTCTGGATACAAAATTTCTAGATCCCCTCTGTCAGAAACCAAATATAGGATTGAGGTCAATTTCCAGAACCATGTTAATATCTTGCAGTAAAAACAATACAAAATTTTGGGGCACCTTAGCCTGTTTTTTTCTTAGGAAAGGGGAAAATAGCCAGAAAACATTGGGTAATAGAAGCAGAGCGTGCCAGTTTGGCATAGTGGTTAAGGCATCAGGCTAGAAACTAGAAGATTGTGAGTTCTAGTCCTGTCTTAGGCATGAAGCCAGCTGGGTGACCTTGGGCCAGTCACTCTCTCTCAGCCCTAGGAAGAAGGCAATGGCAAACCAATTCTGAAAATCTTGCAAGAAAACTGCAGGGATTTGTCCAGGCAGTTGCCAGGAGTCAAAAGGTATGCACGCACACGGCACACACAAACAATGGAAGCAGGGAATAAGAAGACTATGGTCTGTCCAGGAAACGTCTCAAGCAGCCTAAAGGATTAGTGAGCCAGGAAGCAGATACTTGTTCATGATTAATATCGTAATACAATTACAATTGTACAATTCAAAGGAGTAAACTCAGCAAATATTCTCAACTTTTGAACAATCACAAATCTGACAATTTTGATTGCCCCAAATTAATTTTCATTAGACAGTAAAATTACAATTTTGGTTGCATATCTGTAATGGATGTATCCCTTTCTGGGTTCAAAATGAATTTCTCCTTTGTTTTAATTTAATGGTTCAACTCATTAACTGTGAAAGCAATTCAAATTTACCAGGACTGTTCATCTGTAGTTCTGTAATATCACCTCTTAAGATTTTGAAGATACAGTTTGAAATCACAGAAGGAAGGAAGGAAGGAAGGAAGGAAGGAAGGAAGGAAGGAAGGAAGGAAGGAAGGAAGGAAGGAAGGAAGGAAGGAAGGAG